CGTTCGGGGGTTGATGTGGCAGAAAGGTGTCAAACGCCATCGCCCGACTGAGCGCGCACATCAAAGTGCCGCCGCCGGTGGCAACTCCAATGTCAACAGTTATTGTGCTAGCAAAGCGGGAATTGACCACATTTGAAGCCTTTTCCTGTCACCTTTTATCGAGTTCGAATGACCTGGACGCAAAAATTAAACCGGTTTATTTCTTAAGGTGAGTCTGCTTTGTAAGCGTTTTTTTTTTTTTTTTTTTTTTGGTTTCATGTCCGACTGCGTTTTCTGACAGGGTTCCTCTGGCTCTGAAGACATTTTTGAGGACTCGTATTCTCCCTGCCCCTTGTCCTCCTCTTCTTCCAACCCCACTGTGACTTCTCAGCAGGGAAAAATCTTCTGTTCTTCTTGCTGCCAGGCGATAGTGGACAGACATCTCCTTAAGGTATATGGCCTCCTACAGTATCAACAGGGGCGGGCTTGAGTCCTGCTGACTCGGTACAGAAATGAAACACACACACAACAAAAAAAATACCCTCCAGAATATTAAGACGGTCCAAATAAAGGTGAGATACAAACTCAAATGCGAATTGACGGAAATTCACTTATTGTGATTTCAACGTGGCTTTCTGCAAACATAGAGCCAGCAGTCTATTGTAAGTATATTTTAAGCGCGTTCTCCCTTCAGGTGAACAATTTGTGCTGGCATGTCCGCTGCCTGTCATGCTGCGTGTGCAAGACGTCACTCGGGAGACACGTGAGCTGCTATATCAAAGAGAGGCAAGTTTTCTGCAAACTGGACTACTTCAGGTAAGTCGACACGAGCAGTATTGTGGGAGTTGGTCACAAAACGGGTGGTGTGAGGATGGAAAGAGAGATTGATTTATTGAGTACAAAATAATTGATGGAACTGCAATTGGCTGGCAACCACTTCTATGACCCAGCTTGCTGCCCGAAGACGGCTGGGATAGGCTCCAGCGTGCTTGTGACCCTCCTGAGGAGAAGCGGATTATAAAACGGATGGATAATTTTATTGACCACAAAGTTTTTGAAACACACGAAACTCAGTCAAGAAAGTAATTCAATGTTGTTTGTATGACAAACTTCATTTTATCAGCTTTCTGTTCAAGGCGTCAAGGCAAATAGTTGAGTTTTTTGGGGGGGAGGAGGTAACCAACAGCCCTCGATCTCACAGGACAGACCAAGCCCTGCACTTAACAGCAGCCGAATCTCCACATTCAGAACAAAGAAAAAAAAACTGTTTGGTGACCATTTTCAGTTTCATGAGGATCGTTCATGTGACGTCTTTATCAATCAGCACAAAGTCGAAAAAAACATTTTTGCCTCTAAAATTGAATTCTCTTCAGTCCACTACAGTATTTTGAAGGCGGCGTGGCCTCACTCCAGTTGGTAATAGAGTATGTTTTGCGCACGCGTATACATGGCCTTGCGGAATATTGTGAAAAATCTTAATCTACAAGTGTACGTTGGCGACATGTGAATAATGCACCTTAATTTTTCTTATTCCAACTTCATCTGTCTGACCGTTAGAAGGCATGGTACTTGGATACCATGCGGTATCGTCCTCATGCCACCATTTATTTTTTTAATTTTATTTTTTGGTCGTCTTCTTTCTCAGGAAGTACGGGACCCGCTGTGCACGTTGTGGCCGTAACATCCATACCAGCGACTGGGTACGGCAGGCAAGAGGCAACACTTTCCACCTGGCTTGTTTCTCCTGCGCCACCTGTAAGCGTCAGCTGTCCACTGGGGAAGAATGTGGACTATTGGAGAACAGAGTCTTCTGCCGGCCCCACTATGATGTGATGATGGAGAATATCAAACGCTCAAAAGAAAATGGTGAGCGTATTGATCACATGTAAATCGTGTTTTAGCTGCAGACGTAGCCACTTCTTCAGCGTAGTTATTTCAAACATAATAAATTGGGAAGCGACGTGACGGTCGGATGAGAAAACGGGCGAAAGCTGAGGTCGTGTGTGTGTGTGTGTGTGTGTATGTGTGTTCGCTGAAGACCAATCCAAAATGGATGATGAGCAGGCAGCGAAAGAGGGCACCATCCCCAAACCTGCAAAGAGGGCCAGGACCAATTTCACTGTTGACCAGTTGCAGGTACGGTGTTCTGTATAAAGCCTTCCAGCAACCTGTTCGTTTGACCGTAGACATGTTGGGTTCACACGTGTATTCACTGAAGATGTGGGTTTGAGGGACTCGTAGTTGTTTCGAGCACTGGTGAGCCTCATGCCCTTGCATCCTCTCCCTCTAGGTCATGCAAGCTCAGTTTGCTCAAGACAACAACCCAGATGCTCAGACTCTCCAGAAACTGTCAGAGAGGACTGGTTTAAGCCGCAGGGTGATTCAGGTGAGCCAAAACAATGACAAGTAGGGCTGTCACTGATTATTTTAATTTGGAAAAAATAATGTCCATCCTTTAATTTTTTTAAAACTTTAAAACTTAATTGAAGGGGTGCTTACAACATCCAAATCCAAAATAATCGCGCAACACGAATTGATCATGAAATTCATTGCCAACTTTAACTATTTATTCCTTTTATTTTTAAATCGATGGTATTGAGTTGTTGTTGCAGCCCATATTGACAAGTCTCCCCCACCCCCACTGTAATTTTCAACACAAATTTCCTGGTGATTTCTCTCCACTGCAGGTCTGGTTTCAGAACTGCAGAGCCCGTCAAAAGAAACACATCAGCCCAAATTCTGCCTCCAAAACAATGATGCCACTTCCTACTGGTCAGCTGACGCCACCACTGATGGATGACTTGCAATACACAACCTATCTGACCCCAGATGTACCTCTTCTCACTACGCTGACCTATATGGATGGTAAGAAACCTTCACTGAATGCACGCCTCAACTGTAATTCCGAAACGGAAAAATCTTGAACGCACTGTTTGAAGCAGCGTCAGTATATTTGAGCAGTGAAGTTTTTATTTTTTATACTCTATATCCAATTATATATAAAGTTATGATGAAGAAATGGTTGCAAAGTGTATTGGTTGTCATTATTACCTGTCCTGAATGTGTAATTTCCATTTCCAGTACAAGCTCCAGACCCACTTCTACTTCAGCCACTCGTATCCCATCCACTGACACAGCTGCCCGTCAGCCACGCTTAAGATGCCGTCCACCACCAGAGAGGCCAAGTTCGCCGCCCGCGATCAGTCCATCCATCTGTTTTCAACACCGCTTACTCTTATTATTCGGGGGGCGGCTGACCCTACGCCAGCTGACTTTACGTGAAGGGCTGGGAACACCCTGGACCGGTGGCCAGCAATCGCAGAGTCACCACTCAGAGTAAAGAGCAATTGTTGCTTTAAAGCTCACCCTTCCGCCAAATAAGTACCCATGCACTTAAAAGAAAAAAAATATATATATATTTGAGGCACACAGGAAAGCTAGAGATGTTAATTTGTTTAGTGGAGTTTTATTTAAAAGAAAATGATGCTATACATTCAGTTTATTTGCAAAGGACAAACAAATCACCATGATCGTTGAAGGAAAATATTTGATTCAAGATGAAATTTCAGTTTCCACTTCTGTACTTGTAGAATGTGAGATGATGTCTGTCATTTGATGCTATAACAAAATTCACAGCCACTAGTTTCACAGAATATTAATACTGGAAACTGTATTTAATTTATTTCACCTCCATTTCATTGACTGGCGAGACAAATGTGCAGTGATTGTTTAGCAAAAAGTAAGGTTGACTGATTGCTTTGCTCATTTCTTCAGGGAACTGTTCTCCATTCTCATGTATGTTCGCTCAGATGCCTTGCCACAATGTAAAACAACTTTGTCATTCTTGCCCAATGTGAAGCCCGTAATGCAGGAATTCATTGCGAACTTGTAGAACAACATCAGTATAAATTGGATGCTGGTACAAGGGAATAAAGTTGGTAGTCGTCCATTGCACTATTTTGCAATCTATATATTACTCCATCAGTGCTGCTTAATTGTCTCAGCTGACATTTCTTGCCATATGTTTATGTTCGTTTCTCATTTTGGCTGCTGTCTGAAGAGTACCCTTTTTGCTTCTTGTGAATCTTGGCCTTTTGGCCAACTACACAACTGTGCCCAAAATCTGTGTGTACTGTACCTCGCTTAGATAAATTAACCGATTCTTTCTACAAGTGGAAACTTCATGATGCAGCAGGATTTTGAATACAATAATGGGTTAGTCCAAGATAAAGTGCTACACTCTACATTGAATTCTTTCAGCTCTATGCACTGGACAGAATGCTAAAGCAACAAACAATTAAAATGGCAGTATAGAATGTAATGTGGCAGAAGCTAAAAGAGAAAACATCTTTGGTCTTCATGTTTATTCTGACTTTGTCGTCGGATGAGACTGCTAGCCCGGGAACCGCCTCATACAAAATGGCCGATGTCAAATGCGTTCGAAAATGTCAACTTCAGTCTATTTTTTCTTGGTGGTAAATACCCAAAACATATGAATAACTTGTTCACCAAATGTATCACAACGCAGCTAAAATCGATGTAAAAAAAATCTGGGCGAGGTTATTGACAATTCCAGTTTCAAAAGTGTCAATAATATCACAAAATCAGCATTTTCCCCATTTGAAAAATATTTCCAAATTAAGAGTCTTCTTCATCTCAGATTCAAAGAAAGAAATACATGTATTCGTAACGCGCAGATTAGATCATCGTGATTTATGCACTTGACATCTCAAGAATCCATAGACAAGTTTTTAGATGGATTTCTAAATAAGATTGTCAATTTACACTAGAATGGATAGGGAAAAATGCATCATATTTATTTTTGCTTCATTTGAGTTGGAAAAAAAGACAACGGCTAAGGATCAAGCGTTGAAATTAAATAGACGAACTAAAAATAAATGTCATTCTCCCAATCAGTTGTGTGAGGTTCAATTTTTAGGTTGGAAACCGCCGATCGAGCGCCTTAACCTTGATGACGTAATCCATTTCCTTTATTTTGAAAGCACCTAGCCCGGAAGCGATACTTGACATTTGACATGCGCACACCAACGATGAAGAACCGCTGCGTCTCCAACCATTGAACTTGTAAACATTAGCCACCCGAAGTGTCTGTGTTTCTCTGCGTCTGATCCGGGCATGTAAATATCAGGTAGCGCTCCTCTAAAGCAAATACATTTTCTTTTCAATAGACACTCAGAATTTGTTGTTGCGAGTTGACTGATAACAATGTAGTTGATGTTAGCATGGCATTCTGATGATAGCAATTGTCGCTACTAGCCAAATGAATTCTTACACATTCCTCTTCATGAAAAAAACAGACACTCTTGTAAATACGCTCCACTTTTCTTGCGCTACATTTGTTTTTTTTTTCTGTATTACTTAACTACTCGTCATGGAAAATCGCCCTTGGCTGGTTGTCCCTCGGCCACCGATGTAAATGTAGTTTACCGTTTGTTCGCAAAGCAGTGTAACTTTTTCATTGCATTTTTAATTTAGCATCAAGTTAAGAGTATTTGGCATTGTTTAGGAATTTAAATGGGCCCTACTGTCGATCTGAAACAAAAACGCCCTGCTTCGAGGCATTTGCTCGCTGAACTATTTATAGGCTTGTCTATTTGCTGAAACTACAATTATTGAACAGGAAACGACACGACTTAACCTCTTCTGACAGTTTAATTCATAGACGGTTTCGATTATTTAGAAACAATGCACCGTCTGCAAAGTAAGAGCGAACAAATCGCCACGTACCGTGACAGATGACGCACGCTGCGTTCATTAATCGATGAACTGTTGTTTGTGGTAGCCGGCGACTCACGCGAGACTTCCCTTAATGAGTTGGACATACAGTCAAAGGCAAACGAAGGGGAATCTTAGAAAAGCTACCGCACATTCTATATCACCATTCGGTTTTTATGTATTTATTTACTTACTTATTTACCTACCTACCTACCTACCTACCTACCTACCAATCTCAACAATAAAGATCGCCTTCTTGTTTAAATTCCCTAAGGTCATACTTTATTGTTTAAATTCACAAAGGCCATACTTACATAGCGAATGTTCATGTATGTACAGGTGTATCTTAAGATTTGTCAACCTTTTTTGCTGATGATTTGTTATACGGACAGTGAATATGATCAGTGTAAATGTGATATTGCTGGAGCAGAAGCCTTCCTGTTTGAAAAAAGAAGACAACCTTTTGGCATGACATTTGTGATAGTTTGGCTCTTTGTTGTGTTTTGCTGTAGGCTACCTGAACTTGTTTTAAAGGCAGCAGGGAGCACACAATCCTCTTGTCTGATATCATGTCATTGTGTTGGCAGGCTCTTAAGGTGCGGTACCAAACACTGTTCTACCTTGCATGGACCCAAAGCTGATGCGCAGGTATATTTGAAAATAATATGGAAAAAATGCAAAGACTTTGAAGTGTAACTGAACAGCGCTACAAGGTGCTCGATAATTATACGACAACGCTCAAGCAACCACGAGAGCTTTCCAATCATGTGGCACGAACAAGAGGAACCAAAGCATCCGGTATATTCACTCACCTGACTGAACGTGTGGCTCATCTCTAGGGCCACCAGCGCACGTCAAGACGCCACTGGAATGGACATCACCAGCCGCTGCACTCTGGGGGACCCTAACAAGCTTCCCGAAGGCGTCCCCCAGCCTGCGCGCATGCCGTACGTCTCGGACAAACACCCGCGGCAGACCTTGGAGGTGATTAACCTGTTGAGGAAGCACCGTGAGCTCTGCGATGTGGTACTGGTGGTGGGCGCCAAGAAAATCTATGCCCATCGCGTCATCCTTTCTGCTTGCAGCCCCTACTTCAGGTAATAGGAACGAGACTGAAGTGTACATTGAGTCGTTTGATGAAATTGAAGTTCTATTGCTTCGTTGACTGTCAATGTGATGCCAAGTAGAATGTTTTTGGTTTTTTTCCTGTTCTTGGCAGGGCAATGTTTACTGGGGAGCTTGCGGAAAGTCGTCAGACTGAAGTGGTTATTCGAGACATTGATGAGAGAGCGATGGAACTGTTGATCGACTTTGCCTACACTTCACAGGCAAGAACATTGGGATGGCGACGTGCGCGTTTGGTGCCAGCGGTGTGTAAGTGGCTTCGGAAAAAAAGTCAGCCGTTGAATCGGATGCGCTCCCTCGACTTGTAGGTGACGGTAGAGGAGGGCAATGTTCAGACTCTGCTTCCCGCCGCCTGCCTGCTCCAGCTCGCTGAGATCCAGGAAGCCTGCTGCGAGTTCCTCAAGAGGCAGCTGGACCCTTCCAACTGTTTGGGGATCAGGGCCTTTGCAGACACGCACTCCTGCCGCGAGCTGCTTCGCATCGCGGACAAGTTCACTCAGCACAATTTCCAGGAGGTGAGAATGTCCTCCTGTTGACATTTTTCACTCGCATCCATTTCCACGCTCTCGGTAAAGGGCCCTCAGGGAAGAGAAGGCGCACGTCACTCGGTGAGTCACCTCTTGTCAGCGGCACATTTCGACGAGCGTCTGCGTTATTACACCTCGATGGTTTGAAAACTGCACTTCTCTACTTGACGTTATACCTCCTCTAGCGACGTACACCACGATGAACAACCGCATCGTGGAAATGAAATGGAAGCAGCTTGTGGTCTAAATTTAACACTTTGAAAAAAGTGATTTTTTTTTTTCCCCCCACCCTATATTTAGCGCAACCGCTTCAAAATCATTTCGTAGGTGCGGTTGCGATGGTTGACAGTCCACCTCATGTTAGGTTCGTAGCACAATGAGTCTCGTGTGCTCATGCTCCATTTAAGTGTTTGCCGCGTAAGTTGTATGCCAGCCAGATGAAATAAAATGTTACCAATGTGGTGTTGAAAATGAGAGATTTTTATTAATTTTTGTTGTTTTTTTTTGCTTTTGTGCTCTTTTCATTGTCTCGTCAGGTTATGGAAAGTGAGGAGTTCATGCTGCTCCCTGCCAACCAGTTGATCGATATCATTTCCAGCGATGAACTTAATGTGCGAAGTGAGGAGCAAGTTTTTAATGCTGTGATGGCCTGGGTGAAATACAGCATTCAAGAACGTAGACCGCAACTACCCCAGGTTCGTTTCGGGTTGGGGAAGCGAGTCAGATGGGGTTTACCCGGACCCTCATTGTGATTTTCCTTCCCTTTTAGGTTCTGCAACATGTCCGACTACCGCTCCTGAGCCCCAAGTTCCTGGTGGGCACTGTGGGGTCAGACCCTCTCATCAAGAGTGACGAGGAGTGCAGGTACTGGTCCAAAAGATAGGTCCGACATGTGGCTCATGTAAGCTGTGCACCCTAGGCCTCTCTCATTCCTCACATGGTTTTCCTCAGCATGTGTCACCGTATCAATTCTGGTTTTATCTGGTTAGTATTGAGCGCGTGCAAGTCCCTCTGTTCTGTGGCCGTCAGGGACCTGGTCGACGAGGCCAAGAACTACCTGCTGCTGCCACAAGAAAGGCCACTGATGCAGGGCCCGAGAACCCGGCCGAGGAAGCCCATACGGTGTGGCGAAGTCCTTTTTGCAGGTCGCTTCATCATTTTTCAAATCAACTTTGGTTGTTTTGACAGTTTGAATCACAACTGACAAACTCCAGCCACAAGTAGGGCCAAAGCAACTGCCATGGTGTGCATACCGCAGGGCTGGCCGATATGGACACAATGATATACGGTAGCTCTGGTCACGGCTCTTAGGATAAGATAATGATGATAGAAATAGCAACATCAAATATATCGAGCGGCCCCAAAAGCCTTCATGTTTGTTTGATCAATCGCAAAACCGCCTCGACACACCGAGCTCTCTCTACGTCCGGGTCCACCAATTCCCACTCTTCACCTTTGGTTTTCTCGTAGTTGGCGGTTGGTGCAGCGGGGATGCCATATCCAGCGTGGAGCGTTACGACCCTCAGACCAATGAGTGGCGGATGGTGGCCTCGATGAGTAAACGGCGTTGCGGAGTGGGTGTCAGCGTCCTGGACGATTTGCTGTATGCCGTCGGAGGGCACGACGGCTCCTCCTATCTCAACTCAGTTGAAAGGTGGGCCAAAAGACCGCTTTTAATCGTCTCTTTCCAACGCTGACCAGAGTAGCCACTGTTCAAAACCGAACTTGGCTCCGTCCGGTCTCGCCTGCTTCTTTTTTCCCGCCGAGACAACTTTCCCGATCCGCATTTCAGCCCGCTACTGTGTCTGACGGGTTGAAATGCTACGCGTGGCGGAAGCAATCGCCTCCTCTTTCCATTGGCCGATAAATCTATTTTCACTCATTCCGATATGTTTGGTTTCTCTTGTGGTCGCTCGTTCCAGATATGATCCAAAGACCAACCAGTGGAGCAGTGACGTGGCCCCAACGAGCACCTGTCGGACCAGCGTAGGCGTCGCTGTTCTTGGTGGTTATTTGTATGCCGTGGGAGGACAGGATGGTGTTTCCTGTCTCAACATTGTTGAAAGGTACCAGCTGAAACCTTGCCGTTCGTGCCCGTTGAAAGCAACGGAAGCTGTTTTCAACCTACTTGCCGCGCAGGTATGATCCAAAGGAGAACAAATGGACTCGTGTGGCCTCCATGAGCACCAGGCGACTGGGCGTCGCTGTGGCTGTGCTAGGAGGTTTTCTCTATGCTGTGGGAGGGTCTGACGGGACGTCCCCGTTAAATACCGGTATGAAATCAACGTTATGCCCGTCACTTGACAGCTTTCGTAAGTGTATTGCAACTTGAAGTATGGATCGAACGGTCAACTGCAGAATGAGCTTGTTTGTTTGGGGGTGAACAAAAAGTATTGGGGAAAGAGATGAGGAAATATTTTCCAAGCCTTGGCTCTCCCTTCCACATTCTCCTCCTCAGTGGAGCGTTACAATCCTCAGGAGAACCGATGGCACACGGTCTCTCCGATGGGCACCCGACGAAAGCATCTCGGCTGCGCCGTCTACCAGGACATGATTTATTCCGTCGGGGGCCGAGACGACACAACAGAGCTGAGCAGCGCGGAGCGTTACAATCCCAGGACCAACCAATGGTCTCCTGTCGTCGCTATGACGTCCAGACGGAGCGGGGTGGGTATCTATCGCCGCCGTCGTTATTAGAGCAGACCCCTGCAACGGAGCACCCTCCAGAATGTTCAACATAGCAGCAACAGAACGCATGACATAGAAATTGCATAATTGACGGCCGTTGAAAAAAGAAGATGATTAACCGCCCAACATTTTCAAAGACATCCGTTGTGTGTTTTCCACAAAAAAGGAAAACGTGGAGTACACCCCCCCAGCCCCCACTCCCGCCACGCTGGTGCACTTCAGTCAGTCGATCCTTTGATGTTGGTGTATTGGTTTTCGATGATCACTTTTGCGTCTTTAGGTGGGCCTAGCGGTGGTCAATGGTCAATTGATGGCAGTCGGGGGATTTGATGGGACGACGTATTTGAAAACCATCGAAGTTTATGACCCGGATGCCAACACGTGGAGGTAGGCTTCCTCTCGCTGCACCGCAAATATTCATTCAGACTTACAGACGGCCACGTGAGTTTCACTCTGTAACTCATTCAATGCCGGCCGGCCGTTTTTCTCAAAATGGATGCCAACCGTTTTTGACCATTTTGACTCGGCCCGCCAAAAGAAAGCTTGAACCCTCTTCTTTCATCAACAACGAGCCATTTTGAACGCGGGAAAAGCGCCGGATCGGACAGCGTTTAACAACGGAGAAAGGACTTGTTTTCAAACGCCGCCGCTTGTGACCAGACTGCTCTCATCCCTTGCGTTTTCACCTCTTCACAGGTTGTACGGAGGAATGAATTACCGACGCCTCGGTGGTGGAGTGGGCGTCATTAAAATGACTCACTGTGAATCCCACATCTGGTAACGCCCGCTCCCTCACAGACACACGCGCACCACACAGTCTTTGGAGCGGATGCTACCGACGCTCAGACCTCCATCATAGACCGTCGGGACGATGTGAGGACGAGAGAAACGCAGAATGCGTTTCCGACTCTTCATCCCGCCCTCAAGGTCATCAACTTTGATTGAACATTGTCACCTTGTTGCGCATCGCACACAGAGAGCACACCTCCACCAAGCGTCAGCGAGCTTCCAGATTGGAGAAGCATCGATAGGGTCCCTCATCTTGCTTTTACCCGCCAAGCTTCGAGCTCAAAAACTGATTTTTAAACCTGCAGCTGTGTTTAACCGAGGCGTGCGGGCAGTCACTGTGTCCAAACCTTGATGAGATAAAAAAAAAAAAAAAATCACTCTAAGTGGGAAAATAAAACACCAAACTGCATCGAGCCAACAAGCAATTGTTCGGTCCACCCTCCATCTACAATGCACTCACTTTTCTGCAGAGCTTCAGGCAGAAAGGCATCCCGCTTGTGGATACCAAACAACAAAGTGGTTAAACTCAAATGGATACTTGGTGGTGAAAAAGGCCGACCACGAAATCCGAAATTGCGACAAGCATCGTGAGTTCGCATCCTGTCAAAAATACGCTGCGTCGAGCGTTGCACTTTATTCCTCCAAGTGTTTCTGGCGCTCGCCGATACTTGAAGATGACTTGCTGCATCCACTGTGTAGTGTCCACTTTGACGCAGCTGAAAGTCCAATGATTGACTCACTTTTAACCATGAAACAAGAGGCAGGAAACTCTTTGCATTATTGGCTTGCTTTTTTTGTTTTTGCATTATTTAGAAGCCTTACTGGAGGAGTATTAGTTATGACTGCCACCGATTCGGTTTAAACGCAGCCGTTTGGTTCAGGAATGAACTTTCTTCCCGCATGACGGGATGTATACCCCCCCCCCCCGCCCCCCGGAAAACTTCCAAGGACTTATTCACGGGGTTGCTGATGTATCCAGTTCAACCGAAACTCATCTGAAGATCCGCTCTCATCCCCGATCCGCAGCGAGTTGCTGTGCGCGGAGTCACGTGGCCTGTGAGGGCCATCGTGTGCCGCCAGGTGGTGCAACAGTGCCACCCGCTGGAGCCCCTGGAAAAGTGCAGCTGTTCCTTTGTGCTCATGGCCGCACTTGGCGAGTACGGTCCACTCATGGCTTGACCTTGTGTGAAAACACTCGCTTCTGACAAAAGTTTAGATACTCGCAATCTAAAGCGGCGCATCTCCAAGTGTCCCATCTATTTTCTTGTATGATATTTTGTTGGAGCTTTCAAGAACCGTGCATAAAAAAAAAAATACTCCCAACGTCACCGGCTGTTTTGGAAGCAGGCATTTTGACCGTTTAATGCATTGGTGCTCGACACTTGGACTGGCTTTCGTCCTCATGGTGGTGTGTGTGTGTGTGTGTGTGTGTGTGTGTGTGTGTGTGTGTGTGTGTGTGTGTGTGTGTGTGTGTGTGTGTTCAACCAGTAACTGCAGTCAGTCACACAGCTCATAAGGGTGGAAGTAAATGTTGAAGGCAGCTGAGCTCTGAGTTCCTTATCTCATGAAGGAACAGATGCACTCCAGGATTCGTGTTCAAGGAAAGTTACAAACTAAGTCATGGTCTACCAGGCAACTGCCCCCGATTCAGTTATGCACTCCAAAATGTTACTTTCCATTGCCATTATGTCAAGTGCCGCCAACGCCCCCCCCCCTTTTTTGGCGGGGGGGGGGGCATTTCTCTTATTTTCTGAAACAAATCTGATTTTGACACTGAAGGAGTAGAGATGGATGCTCAAGAGGAAAAATGAGATTTAAGTATATCCTCGCTATATTTATTTTTTATTTTTAAAAAGCCTTAATTTGACAATTGTCTTTTTTTTTTTTTTTTTAACAACTCTGACGCAGAGTCTGGGCTGTCTGTACACGGTTCTTAACTCGAGGAGAATTCAACAGTAATAATGTGCTTTTGTTACGAACCGTTGGAACTTGCTTGTCTTGTTTGGTGTGACCTGTGCAAAGTATGTCCTGCTCGTGATCGCAACAGAATTCCTAACAGATTCATTTATAAGCTAGGGTCAGGACATCAAAAATCTTCTCTATGAAAAGAATAAAATGTGTTGAGCTGGGAAAAAAAGGTGCCTGTACTCTATTCCAGTTTTCAATTCTATGACAGGAAAATATTCTGTGTGTCTCGGGCACAGGTGGCAAACTCAAGGTCCCGCCACATCATTTTATGTGGCCCGTGAAAGCAAATCAAAATGTCAACTTCCTTGATGCTTGCTAAAATCTGTACAAAAAGTTCCAATTCGCATATGTCATAAATAAGAGAGACTGCGAAAAAAAGTAGGAATTTGAAAAAATTCTAAGTACTTTTCCACGCCACTGCAAATATTGACGTTTTCAACATGGATTTGTTTTGACCTTGATGTCACCTTTATTTCACTGTCTTATATTTCCAATATATTAATCGGTCATTTTAATTAGAATTACAGCAAGTGATTGAATCTTTTAAAACATATGAACTATTCAGTGAAGGAAAGTGGTGGGGGGGGGGGCCTCTTGTGTTGCATGGCCACAATTGCAGCTTAATGACACGACTGGGACGTCAGCAGAGGCCAATGACACGACCCTCGTTCAATTTTAGCTTGACAAAGACAGAAAGACGAAAGAGAGTCATTTAGCGGGGTGACCAAATCAGTCAAAGGCCGCCTAAATGCGGTCTGGGCACATTTGACCCACAGCGAGCGTGCGGTGGCGGGAGTCGAGAGGATGCAATGACGCGAACGGCAGCCGCATCGTGTCCGCTCACCTGGGCTTCATTAGGAGCTTGGCGGAGAGGAGGAGGGAAGACTCCAGCCTGAGGCGGCAACACAACCCCCGCCTCCCTCGACATGCCAGTCCAAGTCAAGTAAGCGCTTCACACTTTTGCATTTTACAAAGTCACTTGTTGGATCACCTTGACCATGTTTACGATCCAACCCAGGGGATCATTCATGTGATGTCTTTGCCAGTCAACCATCGAGCACAAAGTGGAAGAAAGTCTTTTAGCCTCTCAAGTTGAATTCTCTTTATTCCCGACAGCGTTTTGAAGAGAAATTGCGATTGTTGGTTCATGTGTATCTTCGCATATGGAGAAAAGGTCGACAGTATAGGAACACATTTCTTCGTAGTAACGGCACCTGTTTTCCCTTCTCACTCTTATCACCTTTTTGAACTAACTGCGTGGCCCATGTCAAATGTCATTTTTAGTATTTTTAATTTTTTTTTTGGAGGGGGCGCATGTCGCGGACCTCTGAAAAATGGACGGCAGGCCGCAAATGGCCCCGGCCCGTAGTTTGGACACCACCGGTCTAATGAAAACTATCCCAACACGACTGACTAAAGGCTGGAAAAGCAACGCGGCCTCGCAGGGGTTGCTGTCATGTTTTTTTCAATGAACAACTAAGTATGAACGAACTGCTCATGAGGACTCAAATATGACGGCAGACCACAACAAATATCGCGACGCCTTCGAAGCACAAAGCCCTTGTGGCCTGGTGTTGGTCCTGTTGTTTTTTTAATTTTTAAATCTGAGTCTGTTTCTCCTTTCCTACCGCTGAACAAAGCAGCCTTATTACATTTGTGTCAACCAGCCCATAAAAACAAAATCCAAAAATGCAGGTCAAAAAACAAATAGTCTATTTTGAGATCAGTGTCAAAGAAAATCATCACGCTGTGTGTGTGACAGCCTTGCTCGTCTGGTTTCGTCTTCAAAGACACGATACAAGCCTGTTTAATTTTGTTCAGCCGCTGAAAAGCGGGAGACCACGTTCTCATTTCCTTTGTTGCACGTGTCAGCTCCAATAGGGAGGAACGTGATGCTGTGTAAATATTTTAGTAGCGCTTCTTGCGCCTTCTGATCTAAAATGCAGAACGTGACGACGGTGTCTTCTGTTCTGTCACAAGAGATTTTTTTTCTCATTTCAGGTTTGGATTAGGGAGGGACATGTGGGAAAAATTGCGGTTGGCGTTGTTTCCTTTCAATCTAAATGAACTTGTTGCACCTTGATAACGACGACAACACTCAGACGAGTTCTCGTTCTGCTTTGCGCTCTCAAGCTGAACATCCATCGCTGTCCTACTGGCTCATGACAGACAACAGAGGCGGTTTGTCAATCAAATCAACGTGGCCAGTATCTGTGAGCGACAGCCAGTACGCGGCCTCTTGTGTCGCCATCTTGGAATCGCGTCTTGCAACTGCAAATAGCGGGGCCCCAACGTGGCTGCGGGTCTCGTCCCACCCCGCCGTTCAAGTGCAGCGTTCAGCTGGGATTTCAGCGTCTTCGCGTGTGTGGCCGCAGACAATGGGGGGGCATTCGAAGACAGAACGCTTCACCTGAAAAAGAAATATTAGGCAGTAAGAAACAGATCAAAACTGAAAATTGCACATAAAGCTGTAGAAACATTCATTCATTCATTTTCCCATCCGCTTCATCCTCACAAGTGTCGCAGGGGAGGCTGGAGTCTATCCTGGCTGTTTTCAGTAGACACCCTGAACCGGATGCCAACCCATCGCAGGGCACACAGAGACAAGCAACCATTTGTGCTCACACGCACACCCGGGGACAATTTAGAGTTTTCCATTAACCTGCCATGCATGTTTTTTGGATTGTAGGAGGTAACCGGAGTACCCGGAGAGAACCCACGCAGGCACGGGGAGAACATGCAAACTCCACACAGGGAGGCCGGAGCCTGAATCGACCTCTGCACCTCTTCAACTGTGAGGTCGACATGCTAACCACTCGACCACCGGGTTGCTGCTACAGAAACATGCCGTCCCAAATTCCCAATTCTCCTCGCAAAATGGTCGGAGGAAAAAATGGTAAGCCCTGATCAACAGTGATCATCACAAATCCGTGTGCGTGTGCGTGTGTGTGGACAAACGTGGTGTCTCATGTGACGAACTCTGTGATTGGGACTCAAAACAGAATGACAGCCAATTAGGAAGTGGCCGAAATCTCGCACTGTTGCCTGTCGCAAACACAGAAGCAACTTGTTTTTGCTTTATGTTTGTATGACGTGTCTACCAAGTCAGTCATCACAAAAAAAAATGAATTACATGTACAAAAGGTCCCTGAGTTAAACATCCACTTTACCAACCGGCATGTATGTGCCGGTTTGAACATCTTGACAACACACACGCACACACCCACGTTCCAGTACTCAACACACGGTACCCTTAATGGAAACCGTAGCTCCCCCCACGCCAACTAACCATATGGCGAAGTCATTTTTGATGACATATTTGATTTCAGATTGTGTCAGAAACGATTTAAACATTGTAGGCTATATTTGTAAAAGGAAAAAAAAAACCATGAGGCTGTTCAAAACATGGCAATGGCGACATTTAATTCCAGGGAAGCGAAAGAAAGGAAGGAC